TCATTTTCAGGCATTTGGAGTAAAATATTATATACTTTCCCTCAATTTTACCTTCTTTTATGTGGGTGTTCTGCCAACTTTGCTTTTTGCTTTTTTGTTTTCTTCTTTTGGCCAATATCCTTCTCTTAATGCTTTCTGGCCTCTTGCGTCTATAAGCATATCTCTGATTTTATTCCTTTGGATTTTTCCCAAGCTCTCCTTTGGCATTCAACGTCTGTACCGTGTCTGTTTTGCCAAATCCGGGTCCACAGAGCAGTAAAGTGGAGGACTCGAGAGCCTGGGTGAACGTCCTGGCTTGACCACTTCCAGTTGTGTGACTTGGGGCTGGTCAGTTCTTGTCTATACACTTTATTGTCCTCAACAGTAAAAGGGGACATTTGTGGTACCTGCGTCAGAGCTGTTCTAGGAGTTAAGTGAGTTATTCCTTCTGAGGTGCTTGGAACAGTGCCTGACACCATTATTGTTTAGTTTGGGTTTCTTCCACTTCTTTCATAGCTTTACTGATACATAGTAACTACTAAGAAAGATAAGACAATGAAGGAAAATGGGCTTGTCAATGTGATGGTGTTAAGTATTTCAGCATATTCTGTTTCTGTAGTACGTCTGGTCCTTGATGATATAAAGAAAAAAAAAGCCCTCACTGAAGCTGCCTTCTTTTTTTCTTAACATCTTTGTTGAGATATAATTCACATGCCATACAATTCACCCATTTAAAGTGTGCTATTCAATAGTTTTTGATACATTGCAGTATTAATTTAAAAAAATTTCTGGTAAAATATGTATAAGAACCATAAAATTTGCCATTTCAACCATTACTAGATGTACGCAGTTCAGTGGTATTAATTATATTCACAGTGTCTTCCAACATCACCAGTATTTCCAAAACTTTTTCGTCACCCCAAAGAGGAAGTCAGTACCCATTAAGCAGTAACTCCCCATTCTCTCTCCCTCAGCCTCTGGTAATCTCTCATCTGCTCTCTGACTCTATGAACTAGTCTATTTGAGGTAGTTCATGGAAGTGGAATCATACAGCAGTTGTCCTTTAGTGCCTGGCTTATTTTACTTGGCATAGTGTTTTCAAAGTTCATGTTGATGCATGTAGCAGAATTCACTCCTTTTTTATGGCCGAATAATATTCTGTTGTATGGATAATACCATATTTTGTTTACCCATCAGTGGACACCTGGGTTGTCCCCACCTTTTGACTATTGTGAATACCGCTGCCGTGAACATCGGCATACAAGTATCATTTCCAGTCCCCACTTTCAGCCCAGCTAAAAGTGGAATTGCTAGGCCATACAGAACTTCTGTTTTAGCTTTATGAAGAACGATTTTCTTGGCAAGCGGTTGCTTTTTGGAATTCTCTCTCGTATTCTCTCCTTTGGTGTCTGTCTCCCTCAGATTCCAGTTCCTCCTGTTACCAGAGTTTCATTGTCCTTCCAACCATGTGTCTCTCCCCGGCCCCCGGCCTGTCTGAGGGGCACCCTGCTGCCCCGTCCCTCACCCACTGGCAGAGCACGTATCACCACTCTGGCCACACATCTGCCTGGTCACTTGCACCTCGTCTGAGTGGGGAGGAGCTTGTAGAAAGTCGTCCGTGGGCCTCAGTCGACTCTGGCTGGAGGTTGTTTCAGCCATAAGATGTTCCTTTCAGGTATAGGGAGCCAGGGATGAGGAGCCAAAAGCCCCGCAGAATGTCAGCCGTCCTTAGACAGGCTCCTTCCTCCTCGCAGCACCTTGCTTTCCTGTTCTCCATCAACTGTGCTTGCCTTTAGGGGGTAATGTGGCCACTGTGTCCAGAGGGAGAGTTGTTCCCCCCTCTTCATTTGCTCACAGGACCTGCACTTTTCTGTGAGCAAGTGAATGAATGAATGAATACCCCAACAGACTGTAAGCCCGCCTCAGACACATTCTGGTTGTTGGGCTAATTGTTAGCTGGGGTTTCTGGATGTCATTCATTTCACAATAGGGCTCCTAATTAATCTGAGCACCGGCCTCACCAGAAGAAAGGCCAATAGGGAGAAACATCCCCAATTACCATGAGAAAGGAAGTGTTGAGAGCCCCGTCGAGTTTTCCTGGCATCCACCCCTTGTCTCAGATGAAAACCGCCCTTAACGCTCAGAGGCAGCCTGGCGATCAACCGTGACAACCAAAGGGTTGTGAGAGCCCGCGGGGCCGGGACCACACAGACCCAGCTCTGGGAGGAGCCCGCTGGGGCCGGCCACTCTCGTTCAGTAACACCAGTTGTGTTTCCCAGGACAGTGTGGAGAGTCCTGGTGCCCTGGGCGGCAACGCCTCTGCTGTCCCAGAAGCAGGCGGGCGGTTTTAATCCGGAAAAGCTAAAGGTCTCCTCTTTTGTCTGTGTTTTTGTGCCTGCAGGACAAAAGATCCTGCATCACCGAAGTGACGTTTTAGAAACAGTGGTCCTGATCAACCCCTCAGATGAAGCAGTCAGCACTGAGGTAAGCACCTGGCTCCATGGGCTCAGGCAGAGCCTCACACAGTGGAAGGAGACCCAGGGGGCTGGGGCAGGTGGCACGAGGGACAAGGGAGAGAGATGTTCTGGGTCCAGGATGCTTCCTGGTCAGTGGCTGCTTCTCTGCATCCGTACCACCCTAGACTGTCCCTTTCAATAAGGACAGAGTGGAGGATGCTGGCCAGAACTGGAGGGTTTTGCAGAGGCAAGGGGGTGTGGAATGTTGGATAGACATGGATAGTGTGTTGCTGGGATGGCGTCTGGCTGGGATGGAGCAGGAGAAATAGACTGTGAGCCCTCAGGCTGAGACATACATGACCCAAATTTGGAGAAAAATGGATTCTCAGATGCAAGCCTCCTTCAGAGCCATCCTGCCCACCCCCTTATCACTGTAAAAGGATAGCAAAGGGTCAGAGGCATGGCCTGGGTTCTGCCACTTAGATGGTGGCCTTGGGCAGGTAATTTACTGTCTCTTCTCTCTGTTTCCACCTCTGTGAGATGGAGATCATAATAGCGCCTCCATTTAACATTGTGCCTAGAAGTGTCAAGTGCTTAGAGCATGGCGCACGACAACTGAAACCTAAATGTTGGCTGTTCTTCTTATTAATATTTCACTAGCACCATATGAAATTGTTGCCAGAGGGAGTGGTTATTTCAGAGCCTACTGTTTAGGAACCAGGCTGACACTGAGAATCCCTGGTCACCCAGGCCAGAAGCATTGATGCATCTTCATTTCCCACTGTTTTTATTGCTGTTTGGTACCTTTGAGATTGAGCTACTTCTTAGGATAATAGACATTAGAATAGCCATGTGGCCGGGGGCCTCCATTATCCACAGCATCTCTTCTGCCCATGCTGAGCATCTCTGGCTATAGCTTGTTTTTAAAAATTGAGATGGACTTCACACACCATAAAATCCACCTTTTTAAAGTATGCAATTCATTGGGTTTTGGTATATTCACAGTATCATGTAACTATCATCATTATTTAATTCCTGAACATGTCCATCACCCTCTGAAAACCCCAAGCCCATTAGCAGTCATTTGGTCTCTCCCCACTGCCCCAACCATTGGCAACCATTAGTCTTTTTGCCTCTGTGGATTTTCCTGTTCTGAATATTTTCAGATAATAGAATAATACAATATATGGCTTCATTTATTTCACTTTACATAATGTTTTCAATGGTCATCCACATTGTAGCCTGTATCAGTACTTCATTCCCTTTTATAGAATACTGTTCCATTGTGTGTGTGCACTTTTGTTTATCCATTTGCCGCTTGGTACACATTGGGGTTGCATCCACTTCTTGGCTCTCATCATGTAGCCTGTTTTGATCCCACTTGTCTGCTCCGGATCAGCAGGACCTCTTAGACTATCCGTGAGGGCACAAGGTTGCAGCAAGTGGTGGGCTAGCGATCTCTGGCCAACAGAATCAGGAAGTAAATACAACTTGAGAAAAGCTGAAGGATGAAACAATGTGCAGGCAGATTGCCTCGAACAGCTGTGAGAAATGGAGAAGGAAAAAATAAGGAATTTCTTTAAGGAACCCAGGCTCGCCTGTGGAGCATATGGGGCTGGAACAGTTGCTTTGGTACACGTGTGTTTCCTTGGTCAGACTGTGGCGTTCTTGGGCAGGGGCAATGTCCTGTTTACCGTGCATCCCTCCCTTAGTGCCTAGCATGGTGCCTGGCAGTCAGTTTGTGCTGAACTGAGCTGGGCCCAAATGAACACCTTGGTGCTTGGAGTGGTGTTTCTGCTGAAGGACAGGCTGGCTCTCTGCCACTTAAAGAACAGAGCTCTTTTGTGCAAGCCATTTACAACTCTATTTAAAAGATTCCCAATCAGGACAGCCTTTTGTTTATGTTCAAGTTCAATGTTAGGCACCTAGCTGATCCCACTGGAGGCTGCTCTTGGAGCTGTGTGTTTGGTGTATGGTTTGGAAGGAAAGGGGTCCTGGGTGGGAGGGGCTGACTTGGACCCTAGTTGGAACCCTGTTTCCTGAGGCAGCAGTTGGGGGACCTGGACTATACTTCGTGAGTCAGCCTGTGAGATTTTCGTGGCTCCCAGACCACATGCTGCTAGCAGACACGGCTGTGGAACAAATGATCACCAGCTGTGGAGACTGCTTTGAAAAAGACAAAGAAACTAAGGGGAGAAAGTCAACTCCTGCTACTATGGTGGTTCTAGCCCATCTTGGAAGATAGCATTCATGGGCAGCTGATGACCACAGTCATTGGCTCTGTCCAACATCCCAGGGGAAATTTGAATACTGGGGAATGGATGATTTTTGCAGGTAAGAAACTTCAAGTGCTCCAAGGGCCAGCTCCATGCTGAAGGCGGGCTGTCGGGGCTCCCCACGGCTCATGTCCTGCTCCTTTGCTTTGTTTTAGGTGCGCTTAATGATCACAGACGCCGCCCGACACAAGCTGCTCGTGCTGACTGGGCAGTGCTTTGAAAATACCGGAGAGCTCATTCTCCAGTCCGGTTCTTTCTCCTTCCAGAACTTCATAGAGATTTTTACCGATCAAGAGGTAAGCTCTGTCTGGTAGTATTCAAGCCTCACAGTTGCTTGGTTATTGTTGTGGCCTTAGGCTCCTCTTTGAAAGTGCTCGCGGGAGCCCGGAGAAGGGGAGGGTCTGTCACACTGAAATAGCACAACTGCGTGACCCAGCGTACCATGGTTCTGTGGCTCAGCACCAGGAGGGTTTCAAGCACTCATCTGTAATTAATTGGAACCATTCTGAATGTGCCCGAGACACAGATGGAGGAGGGGTTGGAACAGCCAGCAATTTACAGATGGCAAAGATGCTGGAGAAACTTGAAGTCGAAAAGAAAGCCCAGGTTTCCTGTTGTCTGAAAGAATACTCCCAAGATCTCTTGGATTTGGGTTAGGATTTAACTGCCTTAATCTCTTTCAGTACACGTGCTTACTTTTTCTGGTCTAATTATTTCTGATTTCTCATACTTTTAATGCCTGGTCCCAGTGTTTGAACTGGGCTGCTTGAACAGCCCAAGAAAGGGAGGCATGTAGGAAAATGGGATGTGCCATGCCCCAAGAAAAAGATAGTTAAAGTTGCTGAACCAAAGCCTGATCTTTAATATTTTTAATGAATAGTTTATTCAAGGATGATGCACGTGAAGCAATGAAAATTCTGTGATGTTAGTGGTCTTTGGATAGAATCAGAGCAGAGATGTTTAATTCGGTTATTTCTGCTTGAGACTTGATCCCGTTGGGAAACATCTTTCCAAAATCACGTGCCTCTTTCATTTTGCTTATTCGTTTATAGTTGACAGCCACAATTCAGAGCTGTCACCTCCGCAGACTGGGCCTGACAGATTTTCCACATGCAGAGGTTGAGGGATGAGCTGACAAGGACGGGTTACCACCGTATCAATTTAAAACCATCTCCCTGAGAACTTCCCGAGATGGTGGCCTCTCAGTCTCGTGGGTGTTGGGAGGGGCCATCTGTCTTTCTGCACTTAACTCCTCCTTAGCCCTGCACTTCCCAGAGAGGTCTCTGTGTACTTTCCCTCACTGGCAGGAGCTATAAATAAATCACCCAGCTTCGTTAGGCTCACCTGGAGGCTTTCTGTAAAAAGACGGGTCAGATGACATCACCACGTTTCAGTCTTCACTCACTGGGGGGACTAAAAAGGAACATTTTACTTAGCGTTTGAAACCCTAGCTTTCAGAAGGTGTGATGTCATCTGGTCCTGAGGCAGACAGCCCTAGCTCCCCACAGCAAGAAAGCCATCTTGACCACTTCAAAGTGAGGGCTTTCGCCCTGTCTTTCTGCAGGGTTATTGTCTGTTTCCCTCCAAGGCTGCCAGAGTTCACACTGCATATCTTATTCGCCTTGTAGCCATTGCACCCACATGCAGGAAAGGCTGGGTACAACCTTGTTTAGCTGCATTGAGATTCCCAAGCCAGTGCTCTGATTCTCACTCTGCCTGCTGCCCTGAAGTTGGCAACATCAGACTCTTCTGCAAGATTGTGTCCCCCTATTCATGTTGTGCCCAGAGAGAGTTGGGCATTTGTCTGGTAGCTCAGAGGTCACACACACTATTGCCTCGGGCAAGGGAGAGAGCTGCAGAGAGCTGGAAATAGCCCCGTGGCCTAGTAACACGGGTAGGTGGTTCATGGACTTGCTTTAGGCCTGAACCTTCAGCTCATTTATATGCACACGGGTGCTTCTGCTACATTCCTGTGTACTTCCACAGTTAGTTCCTAGTGGTTGGTTTTTACCCCCATGTCACTAGTTTGTTTGCAGTAAAATAGAGCAGAGGACATACATAAAGGAAAGGGTTTGTCATTGCCAGAATTTTAAATACAGAGGTTATCACAATCCACCCATCAGGACCCCAAATAATATCTATCTTTTAATAAGGCATAGTGTTGTGAATATTGCCGCTTAAGTCATTTTTACTAGTCCATGAAAGCAGAATTTTAGCACAGTGGACTGCGTGTATTAGCATTTACCACTAATTACAGAAGAAAAAGCAATTGCCTTAACTAGAAAATAGGTGTTCCACCCAAGGGCAGATTCTCCAGTGTTCTAATCACTGGGGCAGGTTTGGAAGGGCATGTGTTTTCATTACACCAGGCAGATGTCATAAAGCCAGAGGCTCTGTCCTGTTCTCCTCTGCCAGCCCTGTAACCCCTACCCAGATGCTTTGGAGAGAGTAATGCACAACACCTGCTGAAGGCTCTCTAGAGTTTTCCCTTACAGACTAGGTCAGCGGTGTCAGGGCTGGTGGGAGAAGAGAAGAGAAGGGGAAGACATTGGGTAGAATTCACTCTATTCCTCTTGTCTCAACCAGAGCACCTAGGCCTTTAGCTTTTTGACATTGTGGACTTTGATGAAAGGATGCCACAGCCAAAGTGGATTGGAAATCCCTGGACTAGGCCAGTAGTTACCAGGCCTTTAGAGCTGTAATTGCCTATTGTTGCTTTGGAAGGGTAACTAAGGGATGGATCTTAAAGGCCGTTTGGTGTCTCCTTTTGTTCCTCTTATTTAGTCCTTGATACATGCTAGTCAATCCAGAGAAACTAGAAACACAATTTGGGAAAAAACAAAAATGACACATTTTTAAACAAGAACAGCTAAAAGTAAATGGACCGAAAAGTAGAATTATCAGTGCATTTTAAGCTTCAGGTTTGGGGAGTCTTAGTCATTGGAGGTCAAATTCAAAACCAGACCCTTTGCTAGAACAGTCATCTGGCAAATCCATCCCTCCCCGAAATCTGAGGATGGTGAAATCACCATCTCCTGGGGACGTTTTTTAGTCTCTCTGTTAGAAAGTTTTTCCTTACTTGTCTCATCGTATCTTCCAGAAACGAACGTGATCACTTTTCCATCTGACAGTGTCTTAGACACTCTTCACCGAGCCTGCCAGCTTTTTTTCCCCCTCCAGATTAAACCTTTTCAGTTCTACCCACTGTTCTTCATAAAACAAGATGTTAAAAGTTCTTTACATTCTCTGGTCACTGTCCTTCAAACCTGTTCCATTGCAGGCAGGAGGCACAGGGTGGGGGAAATGCAGGAGCTCAGTCTAGGCCACGTCTCAGTGCCTTGGTGTTATCAAACAGATGGAGGAGTCCAGAGCACGGGGAGCTAAGAGTGGGCTGGAGATACTAATGTGGAAGCCATCAGCACACCAGAAAATAGATGATGTAACCTAGGGGGAGAAATGCATTAGAAGAGAAAGGGGCCCAGGGGTAGCATTTAGCGGTTAAGGCCAAGAAGAAGGAGCCAGCAATTTCAACTTGTTTTTGGTCCAGTTTCTTTAAAATGTTACGACTCACAGTGGACACCATACTCCAGAGATCACTGACTAGGATTGTGAGAGCCAGTGACTTCTATAGTTTTCAATATAATCTTCTATTCAATAAGTCTAAAAGTAACTTTCGATCGTCACTATCCACAATTAAATGTCAGCAAGGAGGGGATGTAGGCTCCGAGGAACTCTGATCTACAAAGTTTGGTGGGGAGGTTCCCTTTAACAAAAAGAAAACTAAATTATTAATACACAATTAAGTACAGGACTTTGGGAGGGGGCCCAGGCCAGTGAGGAGCCTTGACATTTAAGGTTCTTTAGCTTTATGGTAAATCCACTTGACTGTCAACTAAAATCCCCTAGTCTTTTCCATGGATATTGTTGATAAGCTGCAATCTCCCAATCCTGCTTTCCCAGCTGGTTTATTGGACCTTACGTTTATCCCTTTAGAATGCCTCGCGTTAGAGATGGTATAGCCATCATTATCCCAATATCAAGAGCTTCCCTAAATGTCTTAATTCTGCCATCCCACATTCTGCTATGCCTTCCATTTTCATGCCATTCACAGATTTGATAAGCATGCCTTCACCACTTGTATCCAAGTCAGTACTCAACAGGACGTAAAGGAGCCCTGAGGCAGCCTGCCCTGGACCTCCCTCTAGGTTGATGCTAAGCAGCAGGATTTGCATGGGTGGCTACAAAGCCTCCCCGATTCTGCTATCACACTGTTCAGAGAGCCTGTTAAACTGTCTTGCTAAAACCCAGATAGTCCGCCTGCTGTATTTCCTCATTAGCCAAGCAAATCACCTAATCAAAAAAGGAAATGTAGTTAGTAGGCTATGGTTTAAAAATTCAGATCTTATTTCATTAATATTATCTGCAGTAAAGTCACTTATTTCCTCTATCTTCCTTCCTCTTCCAGCATGCCTGCATTTAATTAGGAAAGGTAATTAACAAAAAAGACTCTTTGCCCCAAGCAGTATTTCTTTCAGTCCTGTCTCCCTCCCACCCATCTTTGTAAGCACAAAGGGAGGGTAGCAGTTGGTATGCTTGAGAAGTATTAGCAGGCCCTGGTCGCTTCCCAAGTGTCCAGTGCAGGAGGATAGCTTGTATTGAATTGGCCAAATTCAACGAGGGTCAGCAGACACCTCTGGAGCCTGATGATGTACTGGGGAAACAAAGATAGCAATGGTATGGAGATATGGAAGATGTGTTTCCTCCTATTCAGGAACTTTTAATATAATGGGTTCTACCAGCTACCATTTACTAGATGATTTCCAAAGTCTTTTAGCGGAAGCCCCAGTTTGCCTGCCGCTACTCACATTGGTGGCTCTGCCTCACTGTTCTGTGTTCCATGAATAAGCGCTGACCGAGCAGGCCCGCAGAAGACCCATTCTTTGCCCTTGAGGCCCTCACTCTCCACAGCGTGTGCTGGTGCACAGGTCTGGAAGCCAGCTCTGGGGGGAAGTGGAAGTTTTGTTTCTGCTCTGTAGCTCCCAGGTCTTAGCAGTTGTTCCTCCTCCTCCTCCCTGACGGTTTCCATCTGTCTGCTTCATGACAGGCTCTCTGCAGCCTGAGACGGCCTTCTCGTCTCATGCACTGTACCCTGTTGCTTTTCCAAAGGAACTGGTTTTCTCTCACTGAAAAGAAACCTGACCAGCAGTGCCGACTTTCTTTTCTGCTCTTCCTTGTACATCATAGTTTTCCATTCACCAGCCTCTCTGCTGTTTGTCGATACCTGAATTCCTCAGAATTCTGTGTGGCCTTGTTTTCTTTGGGGCTCATCTCCTTCCTTGCACAGAAACTCTCTGGGTAGAGATGAGGTATTCCTCAAGTCTTTTGACTTTTTCTTTGATCATGGTGATGACATATTTCACATAAAAAGAGCTAATGACTGACTGCTGGATCGTACCCTTAGCTACCACCCTCCTCAAGGTGGAATTTCAAAAATTAAAATTAAGTAAACTTAATTTTTAAATTTCAATATTAAAGTCTCAGCGGTTTGCTATATCCTAGAGTCTTTCTCTAAAATGTGTTATAGGACATGAGTAGTTTGCATGTGCTCCCTGTGAAACTTAGGATAGAGAGCAGCATAACTGTATCTGTAAAGGTGACGAGGGCCTGCACTAATGATTGGACAAGAAATCATGTTTGGTGCTCATGTTTGCTTTGGTCAGCAAATAATTTGAGCAGAGATTCCCCCACAGATGGCTACCATTTGCTTTTTCAGTTTTCTTAGCATCTAAAATAGTTGATTCTTACCCCTTTTATGGGAAGTTGTCACATTAACTGAGAGGAAAACAGCAAAGTCCAAGAAAGACTTGTTTTGCTATTTTGTGACTCTTTGCATAAAACACAGGACCAATACGCTAACAAAAAAATGGCTCTTTTACTGCAATCCAACATTGGAAAATTCACCCTTCTAAACATTCACACTAGTAGCCTCAGAATGTTGGTACCCAGGAATGTCGGTATGAGATGGAGAAAACCACTCTAATATTGGAAGGGAAAAGTTTAGACCCACTTGATCAGGGATGCCTGGACCAAGAGAAATCTTTGCCCTTTCATCATTTACCATCAAGGACACGGAGCTCTTTTCACTGGAAACTCTGAGCTTTGATGCAACTGAAGGAAGAGTGGAGCTTATGGCATGATTGTCTCTTGCTGTCTACTAGGCTAAGACCATGAGACATAGGGCCATAAGATAGAGTGAGAAAGAAAACAACATTTTCATTAAGCCACAATCTCTGTTTTGGTCTCAGTTAGCTCTTCTTTCCCATCTTGTGGTACTAAACAATATGTAGAAAAAGTTTTGCATCAAATTTGATCTTAGCCACTCAAACCCAGCTTGCTCTGAAAAGAATAGGAGTAGCAGAAGAGTACAATATCTCATCCTGGACTTAAATGTGAGCAAATGGGGGACAAACTTGGCCACTTACTCACATAATTACCCAATTGCTCTAATCATCATGGTTTCAAAGTGTCTGCATTTGCAGAGAATCTGCTGGATGAACCACTCATATTTTAAACAGTATGAACCGATGCCAGTACTTTTTTGTAGTGGTGTACAATCTATAACTTCCTGTCTCCAAGGGGCAGAAACCCCCACCAACCTTTTTTCTTCTCTACCAACCAAATTCTAAAAATCGACAACATGTGCACTTTATCTAAATTCCTTTAATGTGTCATCACCAAGCCCAGTGGAGTAAAAGAAAACGTTTTATATCAGTGGTGAAATGACTCATCTAGCCTTCCCCTGTGATAGCTGAATATTTTTTAAAGGGCATTTTTGCATGGCAAGTACCCAGGGGTGGTATCCAAAGTATTTCACAACTGCACAGGCACTGATCATCCAGATGGTCACTGGTCTTAGAACTGGAGCAGAGTTCTGAAGCTCCCCTCTGGGCAAAAGCAGATGGTGGTCTCAGGGGGAGGTGCTTGGAGTTGGGGTGGGGGCAGGGGCAGGGAGTTGAGGCAGAAGGGGATGGTAAAAGCAGTTGGGATAGGCTGTTAACTTATCAGTATGGAAATACCAACTAGCATCTCTGACATCAGCCCTGAGTGCACCCAGTGATCTTATAACACCTGGTGAGGATGGATCAGTGATGACAGTCACTTAAACCTTTCTTTTTCTCTTATTTTCTTACATCCCAGATTGGGGAATTACTGAGTACCACCCATCCTGCCAACAAAGCCAGCTTAACCCTGTTCTGTCCCGAAGAAGGGGACTGGAAGAACTCCAATCTTGACAGACACAATCTCCAAGACTTCATCAATATCAAACTCAACTCTGCTTCTATATTGCCAGAAATGGAAGGACTTTCCGAGTTTACTGAGTATCTCTCAGAATCAGTGGAAGTCCCATCACCCTTTGATATTCTAGAACCTCCCACATCAGGTGGATTTCTAAAGCTCTCCAAGCCCTGCTGTTACATTTTTCCAGGAGGGAGGGGCGATTCTGCATTGTTTGCAGTGAATGGATTCAATATGCTCATCAACGGAGGATCAGAAAGAAAATCCTGCTTCTGGAAGCTCATCCGACACTTGGACCGCGTAGACTCCATCCTGCTCACCCACATTGGGGATGACAATTTGCCGGGGATAAACAGCATGCTCCAGCGGAAAATTGCCGAGCTGGAGGAAGAACAGTCCCAGGGCTCTACCACCAATAGTGACTGGATGAAAAACCTCATTTCCCCTGACTTAGGAGTTGTCTTTCTCAATGTACCTGAAAATCTGAAAAATCCCGAGCCAAACATCAAGATGAAAAGAAGCATAGAAGAAGCCTGCTTCACTCTCCAGTACCTAAACAAATTGTCCATGAGGCCAGAGCCTCTATTCAGAAGTGTAGGCAACACCATCGAGCCTGTCATTCTCTTCCAAAAAATGGGAGTTGGTAAACTCGAGATGTATGTGCTTAACCCAGTCAAGAGCAGCAAGGAAATGCAGTATTTTATGCAGCAGTGGACTGGCACCAACAAAGACAAGGCTGAGCTAATCCTGCCTAATGGGCAAGAAATAGATATCCCAATTTCCTACTTAACTTCGGTCTCCTCTTTGATTGTGTGGCATCCAGCAAACCCTGCAGAGAAGATCATCCGAGTCCTGTTCCCCGGCAACAGCACCCAATACAGTATCCTGGAAGGACTGGAAAAGCTCAAACATTTAGACTTCCTGAAACAGCCCCTGGCCACCCAGAAAGAGCTAACTGGCCAGGTGGCCACTCCTGCCATGAAACAAGTAAAACTGAAGCAGAGGGCTGACAGCCGGGAGAGTCTAAAGCCAGCTGCAAAACCACTTCCCAGCAAATCCGTGCGAAAGGAGTCAAAAGAAGAAACCGCTGAAGTCACAAAAGCTAATCATGTGGAAAAGCCACCCAAAGTGGAAAGCAAAGAAAAGGT